AACAAATAATGAGAAAGTTCAACATTTGGGGCTCAGAAGTTTGGAGATTTTTTCCAGTAGAGTTCTATACAGTTCAAATTCTAAAACATGAACACAACCTACGTTCACTTCCACCGTGTTTTTGTCCTCTTCAGTAAAAAACTATAGACGTAAAGTTTGCATAGTTTGTTTGTCTTTTCTTTTATCTGTGCCTGGGTTGGATCTGTGGTTAAGACTTTAGAACTGGTTTACAGGCTGAAAACGTGTGTCGTTCGTTCATTTGTTTTTCAAAATAAAACCAAAAATAAGAAAATGAAAAAAAACAACAACAACAACTATTTTCTTCATTATTTGTCTCCAAAACCAAAATGAAAAAAAAAAACAGATAATAATTTGTTTTTTCAGTTTGCAATTTTGTGTTTAAATGATAAATGTTGGCCCTTTCTGAAACGTACTGGATGTCGGACTTTTACGCTGCATACGGACTGAACCAGGACTAAACCAGGACTAAACCAGGACTAAACTAGGACTAAACCAGGACTAAACCAGGACTAAACCAGGACTAAACCAGTACTGAGTGTCGGGACGGGCCCGGAGGTTCGCCCGCGTAGACTGTCGGGTGATCAGGACTGAGCCCGGGGCCCGACCAGGACCAGACTGGGGCAGAGACCAGGACTGAGACCGGTTTAGTCCTGTTTTAGTCCTGGTTTAGTCCGTTTTTTTCCATTTTTCATTTAAACACAAAACTGCAAAACTGAAAAAATGAATCATTACCTGTTTTTTTCATTTTGGTTTTAGAGACAAATAATGAAGAAAATTGTTGGTTTTTAATTTTCTTATTTTTGGTTTTACTTTGAAAAACGAATGAACGACTGACGCACGGATTAGACTGGATCTAGGGTTGTACCGGTGTGCGTTTTAAGGTAGATTTTGTCTCGTTCTACTTTAAATCCTGGTCCTGGTTTCCGCTCTGACGTGAACTACAGTGTGCAGATCTAAAGTGACAGAAACATCCTCCAAACAAAAAGAAAAAAGTGATATTCCCGCATTGTTGTGGTTAATTTTGAGCAAATCTCTTTCCTCTTCCCTGTGTAAAGAAGTGAAGCTGAGGTTCATATTAGGAAGAGGAACTGATTTAGGGACCAAATAGTGAAATAAAAACACCAGGATCATGTAGAGTTAGTTTAAATGAACATTTTAAGACCAAAGTGACGAGACAGTTTTTCAATACAAAGAGAATAAGACTTGTCCATTATATTTACACCGTCTATGGGTGAGATAAATTAGATTGTCTTTGTAAATTTGTAAATGAGCTGCTTCGTTTAAGCTGATAATGGTGGAATGCAATGAAGTAAAAGTAGTAAAGCGCTGTACTTCATTAAAAACTTTAGGTATCTGTATGTTTTACTTTTACTTCACTACATTTGAGAGCAGGTGTCTGTACTTTCTACTTCACGGCATTTTTGAACCGGACTGAAAAGTTTAAATGTTTTTATTATAGTCTGAGACCTGCTGAAAATTCCGATTATTGATGATTTTGAACACAGCAAAAAAATTAAAAAAAATAAATAAAAACAGCTGACAAAAACAATTCACTTATTTCTGTTCAACAAAATTCTTATCAAAATCTGTACGTTTGAAGTTTTATTCCACCTCAGAATTCCACGAAATACTTGTACTTTTGTTAGTGTGACCAGATTTTCAAAATAAAAAACTGTGAATAATGAAATTGTGAAAAAAAAAAGCATAATAATTAAGGAAAACTGTTCAGCTCTTGGACCATTCAAGGTTGTATGGAGGATTTTTTTTGGTTTCAAACTGTCAGTCAAAGATTAAAATACCATTACAGAGACGCAGCAGCTTTGTAATTATGATGACCAAAAAAAAAAAAATGAAAATCTATCAACTGTGGACGTGTTGAGGCCAGATAAACATCAGCCAATAGAAAACGAGGCTCCTTCATTTTCTATTGGCTGTTAGGTTGTCAATCAAACTCCCTGGTATAACTGACTCGTCGGAGCGTGGGGATTATGTGGTTTACGCAGCGGTTCTTAGAGGCTTTTTCGAACTGTCGCTTCCTCGCATTTTGCACAAAGTTTGTCGCGGCGGCGGACGAGAATCCACGACCGGTTCGTCGCAAAAGAAAGTCAGTTTTTGAGGTCGCTGAAAGATGAAGAGAAGGGGAAAAGGAGCAAAGCCAAACTGATGCGTCGGTTGCTGAATTACTTCTAGACAGGAAACTTCAACAGTAATTCTGAACGCGCACAAGGACTGTCGCTGTATTTCTCTTCCATTAAAAAAATCCTCTATACAACCTTTCATGACGAATATCTGCGTCAGTTTAGTCACATTTTCTTTGAGTTTCAGTCGTTTTTAAGCAGATTTTTTTTGTATTTTACCTAAACAAATGACAGTTTATGTTTCTCTTTACTGTTGGCAGGGATCAAATCGGTCCAAAAAAGAGACACCGGGGACATTTTTTGTATAAAACTGGGACAAATCGGTGGTTTTGTATAAATCTGCTGGAACACAAGGCTCAAAACTGGGACTGTAATTAAAGACACTCTAACTTTTGACTCTTTAAGTAGATTTTTAAACAGGTACTTTTAAAACTTTTACCTGTATCTGTACTTTTACTTAAATAACAAACTCGAGTATTTCTTCCATCGCTGGGCCCTGAAATAAACAAATCTGATTGGACCACATTTGGACAGATCGATATTTTAATATTTTTAGAGTTACCAGGAGGAAAATCCCTCGTACCGTGTTAAAATACTCTCTGAATGTCGTTATTGAGATGATTTATTTGAGTAAACTGTTCACACGCGGTTATTAAATCTGGTTTTTTCGGCACACAAACGGCGGAAGTCCAGATTTAAAGCGCGATGATTCTGACGATTCTCTGATTCTGACTTCACTTGGTGCGAGGAAACTTGTTATAATTATAAATAACAGTTTTACACCAATTGAGAAGCAATTTGCGAAGAAAAGTGAAGTTAGAAAATTCTCTGCTTCCTTTTAATTATCAACACATTTTTCTATTTTACAGCGAGAATTCTGTCCAAAAGTTCAGCACGATTTACAAAACATTTCTGACGCTTTAAAAGTGATTTCAGCAACAAAATAAAGGTGTTTTCTTATATTTGTATTTGTCAAATCATAATTTCTGTGCACATTAGAGGAGTTTTGCTTGGTAACAAAAAAAAAATCCTTTTGTTTGTTTGTTTAAATAGTTTTGTAGTTATTTTTTTTAATATATATTTAATTATCATGAGTAGTCGGCACTTTAAACTCACCTTTTACGTTCATTTTTAACTTTTCTTTTACATTTTAAACCACATTTTTGAGTCGTCTTGTGATCTTATGATTTGTATGACGATTTTCTACAATTATCCACAACGATAAAAGTTAACCATGATCGCTTGTGGGTAAAAACAACAAAATATTTTATCAGAAGTGCTTTTCGTTTAGACGGTGACTGCGTTTTTGGGACTTAATAACGCAAAAATCTGAAACCGCCTCCAGAGTGGAAAAGTTGAAGACACTCCACTGTAGTGTTTCCGTCGACACTGCCCAAGACGCAAAACTCTGGTCAGATCTGCTCAGGTCACGTACACGTTTACATCACAAACATACAGGACACAGAAACAAACATGTTGGATCATTTCCATGCCTCTAATAAACTGACAGGAAGCAAAACAACAAATGTGAAAAATCTGCCGATACTTTTAGTGAACAGAGAAGGATCTGCTGTCACCGCTGTCAAATTCTGGATGCACCAGGTGGTTTTGAACCATATCACTTTTGTTTCTGGTTCTGATATTGTCATATTTTAGTTTTGGGATTTGGACATTGTAATTGTGTGGTTGTTGGATCCTAACAGCGGAAAATGGGCTTCGAGAAATGTGTTTGCGAACTCCATAAATGCAAAAGTGAATCAGATGTGTGTGACTCAAACCTCCGTTCAAACTGTTTCTCTTCCCAACGGAATTGAAAAATAGTGAAAGGTGAAGGTGATGGGCAGGATTGATCCACAGGAAGAACCAAAAAGGAAACATTTGTCTGACTAAGAAATCATCCCGAGTTTACAGAGAACATTTTGTATGTGGAGCGACAACGAAACAAAATCCTGATCCTTCACTCAACCTCAGTTACGAATTTAAAAAGTCAACGCCAAAGTGAAAGTCTCCAACTGTTCACCAAGAAACACCTTCCACTGCAAAGAGACCAAGACGTGATGTTTCTGTAAAACCACAAGAACAAGAAAGTGCAGCTCAGTCTGTTTGTCTTCTGTACGTCTCACTTAACAAACGAGATTTTGTTTTGTCGTCGCTCCACATACAAAATGTTCTCTGTAAACTCAGGATGATTTCTTAGTCAGACAAATGTTTCCTTTTTGGTTCTTCCTGTGGATCAATCCTGCCCATCACCTTCACCTTTCACTATTTTTCAATTCCGTTGGGAAGAGAAACAGTTTGAACGGAGGTTTGAGTCACACACATCTGATTCACTTTTGCATTTATGGAGTTCGCAAACACATTTCTCGAGTCGTTTTCCGCTGTTTGGATCCAACAACCACAACAATTACGACGTCCGAATCCCAAAACTAAAATATGACAATATCAGAACCAGAAACAAAAGTGATATGGTTCAAAAGACTTGGAAAGATCGACTTTGTCAATAGACACGTCCCACTGGGAAAACAAACATGGAGGTTTGATGTTCACTTTTTCAGAAAATCCTTCTCAGTATGAATTGCGCGATGACCTGAAGTCCGAAATTTGTGACACGTGAATTGCTGATCTCTACTGAACTAAACTACCGCTTCATGACATCACAAAGTGGAACAGGGCATTTGAGCTTCGGAGATGTAGACAGACGAATAATAAAGAGTCACTCGAACATGTGAATGAGACAAAAACAAAACTCCAGGTCTGTTTTTTGAGGCGGGAACAACATTAGAACATCAAAACGTGCCTCGAACGTGTCCCTGACCGTGCGCGTCTCGTCCAGCAGGGGCGATGGAGGAGTGCGGCTCGCAGAAGCTGTCCTGGGACGGCGAGGCGAAGGCGGTGCAGCAGTGTCTGACGGACATCTTCACCAGCGTCTACACCACCTGCGACGTGCCCGAGAGCGCCATCTTCGGGCCGTGCGTCCTCTCGCACACGTCGCTCTACGACAGCATCGCCTTCATCGCGCTCAAGGCCACGGACAAGAGGACGGCGCCGTACATATTCAGGGTGAGGGCGACGGCCGGGCCCGGTGGAGTCCTGGTTCGGTCCTGGTTTGGTCCTAGTGTAGTTCTGGTTTGGTCCTGGTTTAGTCCTGGTGTAGTTCTGGTTTAGTCCGGGTTTGGTCCTGGTGTAGTCCTGTTATTGTCCTGGTTTAGTTTTAGGCTTCAGTCTTGGTGTAGTCCCAGTTTGGTCCTGGTGTAGTTCCAGTTTAGTCCTGGTTTGGTCCCGGTTTAGTCCTGGTGTAGTCTTGGTTTAGTCCTGGTTTAGTCTCGGTTTAGTCCCGGTTTAGTCCTGGTGTAGTCCTGGTGTAGTCCCGGTTTAGTCCTGGTTTAGTCTGGTGTAGTCCGGTTTAGTCCAGTTTAGTCCTGGTGTAGTCTTGGTGTAGTCCGGTTTAGTCCTGGTGTAGTCTTGGTGTAGTCCCGGTTTAGTCCTGGTGTAGTCCCGGTTTAGTCCTGGTTTAGTCCTGGTGTAGTCCCGGTTTAGTCCTGGTGTAGTCCCGGTTTAGTCCTGGTTTAGTCCTGGTGTAGTCCCGGTTTAGTCCTGGTGTAGTCCCGGTTTAGTCCTGGTGTAGTCCCGGTTTAGTCCTGGTGTAGTCCTGGTTTAGTCCTGGTGTAGTCCCGGTTTAGTCCTGGTGTAGTCTCGGTTTAGTCCTGGTGTAGTCCTGGTGTAGTCTCGGTTTAGTCCCGGTTTAGTCCTGGTGTAGTCTCGGTTTAGTCCCGGTTTAGTCCTGGTGTAGTCTCGGTTTAGTCCTGGTTTAGTCCTGGTGTAGTCTCGGTTTAGTCCTGGGTAGTCCTGGTGTAGTCCGGTTTAGTCCCGGTTTAGTCCTGGTGTAGTCTCGGTTTAGTCCTGGTCTGTAGTCTGGTCCCGTTTAGTCCTGGTGTAGTCTCGGTTTAGTCCTGGTTTTAGTCCTGGTGTAGTCTCCGGTTTAGTCCCTTTAGTCCTGGTGTAGTCTTGGTGTAGTCCCGGTTTAGTCCTGGTGTAGTCCTGGTTTAGTCCTGGTGTAGTCCCGGTTTAGTCCTGGTTTTTAGTCCTGTTTAGTCCTGGTGTAGTCCCGGTTTAGTCCTGGTGTAGTCCCGGTTTTAGTCCTGGTTTAGTCCTGGTGTAGTCCCCGGTTTAGTCCTGGTGTAGTCCTGGTTTAGTCCTGGTGTAGTCCCGGTTTAGTCCTGGTGTAGTCCGGTTTAGTCCTGGTTAGTCCTGGTGTAGTCCCGGTTTAGTCCTGGTTTAGTCTCGGTTTAGTCCTGGTGTAGTCCTGGTGTAGTCCTCGGTTTAGTCCTGGTGTAGTCCCTGGTGTAGTCCTGGTTTAGTCCGGTTTAGTCCTGGTGTAGTCCGGTTTAGTCCTGGTTTAGTCCTGGTGTAGTCCTGGTTAGTCCTGGTTTAGTCCTGGTGTAGTCTGGTTTAGTCCCGGTTTAGTCCTGGTGTAGTTTGGTGTAGTCCCGGTTTAGTCCTGGTGTAGTCCTGGTGTAGTCCGGTTTAGTCCTGGTGTAGTCCCGGTTTAGTCCTGGTGTAGTCCCGGTTTAGTCCTGGTGTAGTCCCGGTTTAGTCCTGGTGTAGTCCTGGTGTAGTCCTGGTTTAGTCCTGGTGTAGTCCCGGTTTAGTCCTGGTGTAGTCCCGGTTTAGTCCTGGTATAGTCCTTGTGTAGTTCGAGTCAAGGCCTGTTTTAGTCCTCCTCTAGTGCTAGTTTAATCTGATTTAGTCCTGGTTCAGTCCTGGTTCAGTCCTGGTTCAGTCCTGGTTCAATCCTGGTTCAGACCTGGTCCAGTCCTGGTTCAGACCTGGTTCAGACCTGGTTCAAACCTGGTTCAGAGTCCTGGTCCAGTCCTGGTTCAGACCTGGTTCAGACCTGGTTCAATCCTGGTTCAGTCCTGGTTCAAACCTGGTTCAGACCTGGTCCAGTCCTGGTCCAGACCTGGTTCAGTCCTGGTTCAGACCTGGTTCAGTCCTGGTTCAGTCCTGGTTCCCACCTGGTTCACCTGGTTCAGACCTGGTTCAGTCCTGGTTCGGTCCTGGTTTAGACCTGGTCCAGTCCTGGTTCAGACCTGGTTCAGACCTGGTTCAGACCTGGTTCAGACCTGGTCCAGTCCTGGTTCAGACCTGGTTCAGACCTGGTTCAGACCTGGTCCAGTCCTGGTCCAGTCCTGGTTCAGACCTGGTTCAGACCTGGTTCAGACCTGGTTCAGTCCTGGTCCAGACCTGGTTCAGACCTGGTTTCACTGGTCCTGGTTCAGTCCTGGTTTCAGTCCTGGTTCAGTCCTGGTTCAGACCTGGTTCAGACCTGGTTCAGTCCTGGTTCAGTCCTGGTTCAGACCTGGTTCAGACCTGGTTCAGTCCTGGTTCAGACCTGGTCCACCTGGTCAGTCCTGGTTCAGTCCTGGTTCAGACCTGGTTCAGTCCTGGTTCAGTCCTGGTTCAGTCCTGTTGTGGTCATGAAGCTTTGTTATCAGATTCTGGACTTATTCTTTCCACAGTGAACGATCTGGATTAAAAAAAATAAATAAATTAATATTTATAAAATGGCATGTTTAGAACTAAAATTAAAGCTGCAAGAATTAAATGAACAGTATGTGTTTCTTTAAGGACACATTACTCTGTTCTAACGTCGTTTCCTCGTCACAAACAGACCTGGAGTTTTGTTTTGTTTTATTTGCACGTTTAGTCTAGATTTTAGTTTTTCTCTCAAACTGAAAACACCCCTTTCCACTGGTGCTAAAACTGAAGGAAAAAATAATCCTCTTCTGGTTTTAAATAACAAACACATACTTTTAAACATTCACATAAAATAACAAATGAATCAACCATTTAAAAAAACTAAATATTCAACAGACAGTCCACTAGGGGGCAGCAGACAAATATTTAATTGTATACAACAGGTTTTTCAGGAAAATATTGATTACGTTGGTGGGTAGAGATCTCAGTATGTTGTGTATCAAATATGTTACAAAAGGCTTTAAAGGTTAGAACACGGGTTCAAAGTTTTTTTTGTTTTTTCTTTATTTTTATTTTTATTTCTTTGTATCCTTAATGGAATAAGGAAAAAAAAAAAAAGAAAAGAAAATGGTAACACTTTATAATAACTACACCTTACTTAGCCTTAATAAAGCATGAACAAAGACTTAATTAATAATGAACAAAGATTTAATTAATAATGATTCAAGCTTAGTAAATGCTTAATAAAGCATAATTTGTCTTCACTTTAGAAAAGCTCTCAAAAAGACTTAACTAACAGATAACAGCTGCCTGAATTATCATTACATTGTATTATTAGTAAATCATTCTCTCATAGTTTATTAATGATTAATAAATGCTCAAATGGTTAGTTCATGAGTAATTAAGTATGAAATAATTATGAGTAACTATTTACAGCACAGGCAAATTAAGTGCAAGTGCTAATTAAGGTAGTAATTAAATAGTTACTAAGCGTGAATCATTATTAAGTCTTTGTTCATTATTAATTAAGTGTTTGTTTATGCTTTATTAAGGCTAAATAAGGTGTAGTTATTATAAAGTGTTACCAAAAAAATTCAATACTATCAAAGAGAGATATGTGAAGTGAAAGACAAAGCAAATTGTTGTACGTATGTGATTTGAAACTGCCATCTCTCTATAACTGTTAATAAAAATTTTAATTAAAAAAACAAAAAAAAAGGTCACAAGAATCCATTTAGTGTAATATAAAAATGTTTTACTCATCTTTTTCTGCTGGTGTTTCAGGTGGACACGTCGGCGGCCAGCAGCACCTCCGAGGGCCTGATGTGGCTGCGTCTGGTGCAGTCGTCCCGGGACAGGGAGGAGCAGAACCTGGAGGCGTACGTGAAGAACGGGCAGCTCTTCTACCGCAGCCTGCGCCGCATCGAGAAGGACGAGGAGCTGCTGGTGTGGTACGGCAAAGAGCTCACCGACCTGCTCCTGCTCAGCGCCAGCAGGGCCCCGGCCAAGAGCAAAGGTACGGGGACGCGTCAGGAGCACGTCACCTCATCGACAGAAAGACCTTTATTTTAGATTATTTTACAGAGAGATGTCACCGCTCTGCCCGGAATGTTCCACAGTGTGACTTTAAAGGTTGTATAGAGGATTTTCCAAGGAACGAGAAATCCAGCGACTGTTTGTCCTTTTTCAAATGTTGCGCATGCGTGAAACCACCCCCCCCTCCCCTACAGCTCCTACGTAGAAACACCTCCTCCCTCCTCCTCTTTACGCCAGAAACAGGTTTGTTTACAGCCGGTGCTGCACATGACTTGTAAACAACTAACTACAGTGTTGGTTAGGACAAGACGGAGAAGTGAGGAGCGGGGGGAGCGGGTGTGCGGACATTTTGTTCGCGGACGAGAAGTGAGGAGCAGGGAGAGAGGAGAGGAGAGAGGAGAGAGGAGAGAGGAGAGGGGAGCGGTGCGCGGAGATTCCGTGCCCGGAGAAGTGAGGAGCAGGGGGAAGAGTGGATCGGGCAGCGGGGACAGGAGCAGGAAAGGGGTGCAGAGAAGAGTGTGCGGAGATTCAGTGCGAATGAACTAAGCTACAACACGCAGCAGCAAGCGGACTCTTTCTTTGCCTTGAAAATTAAGTTTTCAGACATAGGATATCGCTTTCGTGTCCTGAAAAACGTTTGTCTCGCTCTTGGAAATAAAGTACGTTTTCATAATAAGCAGAAGTTTCCTGTCCAGGAGTAATTTGTGGACCAGTGCGTCAGTCTTTAGACCCTTCGTCTGCTTCAGTCGCGCCATCGCTGGAATGAATCTTACAAGAATCACCTTAGTTTGGCTTCGCTGCTTTTCCCCTTGTCTTCTTCTTTCAAGCGACCTCAAAAACGGACTTTCTTTTGCGGCGAACTGCTCCTGGATTCTTGTCGCCATTGCAACAAACTTTGTGCGAACTGCGAGGAAGATATAGGTCAAAAAAAAGCCGCTAAGAACTGTTGCGTTGGTGGAGTAAACAGCGTCTGTGCGTCTTGCGTCTGTGGACTGTGTGACAGTCGTACGTAAACCACGTACCGGCGGCGCAGGCAAGTCAGTTACACTAGAAACGTAGGGAGTTTGATTGACAGCCTGTCAGCTCACAGATAACGAGGCAGTGTCGTTATCTATTGGCAAATGTTTAGCCCCACCACGTCCAGAGTTGATGAATTTTTATTCTCTTTGTTTTGGTCATCATAATTACAAGGCGACTGCATCTGTATAATCTATCATTGACAACTTGAAACAAAAAAAACAAAAAAAAAAATCCTCCATACAACCTTTAAACAGCTCGACTTCACATTTTTTTTAATTACAGGTGGTTTTAAAGCTCAAAAATACCAAGAAAAACAGACAAAGCAATAACATCTCCAGAAAAAAGCACCTGAAGGACCCTCCACCAGAAAAGTTACGCTACTTCATTTGGTCCAGTGTCAGAAATTCAACTTGTGCCCAATTTTAAAATGTGACAAAACCAAATAAAAGAAAATCTGTGGAATATTTGCTCCATTTTATAAAATCTCCTGGGTCTTATAAGTGGAATAAAACGGATCCTAATATTTTTCAATTCAAATGTGGTCTTAAACTATTATCTTAAAACTTCCAAATAAACACACAAACTTCATGTGATCAATTTATTTAAAAAAATGAAATTGTCTGAATCACTGAAAATCCGTGTGTCATTCGTTCATTTGTTTTTCAGTATAAAACCAAAAACAAGAAAAAAATGAAAAAAAAAAACAAAAAAACAAAACAATTTTCTTCATTATTTGTTTCAAACCAAAATGAAAAAAAAAAAAAAAAGAACAGATCAAGATTCGTTTTCTACAGTTTTTGATTTTGTGTTTAAATGAAAAATTGAAAAAAACGGATAACGGACTGAACCAGGACTTCAGACCGGACCGGGACCAGACAAGGACTGAGTCGGGGATCAGACCAGGACCAGACCAGGACTGAGACTGGGACCAGACCGGGACCAGACTAGGATCGAGACCAGAACCGGATCAAAACCGAGCCTGCAACCAGATCAGGACTGAGACCGGGACAGAGACCGGGACTGAGACCGAGACCGGAACCTGGACCGAGACCGGGGCTGAGACCAGGACTAGACCAAGACCGAGCCTGTGACCAGACCGGGACCGAGTCGAGTACTGAGACTGGGACCATATCAGGACTGAAAACGGTTTAGTCCTGTTTTGGTCCTGGTTCAGTCCTGGTTCAGTCCGTTCTCTGTTTTTTCCATTTTTCATTTAAACACAAAATCGAAAACTGAAAAAAACAAATCATTATCTGTTTTTTTCATTTTGGTTTTGGAGATAAATAATGAAGAAAATTGTTCTTTTTTCATTTTCTTATTTTTGCTTTTATTTTGAAAAACAAATGAACGAATGATACACAGATTATTGAACTACACTTTTGTCTAGGTGTGTATGTTTAAAATATTATGTGTGTATGTTTACATGCAATAGATTTAATGAAAAAAATAAAATTAAAAATACATGATTTTATTGTTTTAGCCTTGAGTTTCAGTAAATTCTCTGTATTTTTACTAACTCACAGATCTTGTTCCTGTGTCTCCAGGCTCCAGTCACTACGTCTGCCCCGACTGCAGCCAGCGCTTCCAGTTTGAGTTTCCGTATCTGGCCCACCTCCGCTTCCGCTGCACCAAGAGACTCCAGAACATGAGCACGTCCGAGGAGGAGGGCGCCAAAGAGGGGAGTCCGGACCGCCCGGCCGGGAATTCCACCAGCAACCCCCCGGCCCGCTCCAGCCCCAACCCCAACCCCAACCCCAAAATGGGCCGGTCCGAGGGCTACGGCGCCAACCAGGACGGCTCCAAACCGTCCACGGACTTCCACAACCTGGCGCGGGACTTAGAGAACAACCGCACGAGCCCGCCCAGCGACAAAGAGGCGGAAATCTGCAGCGAGAGTTCCGGAAAGAGGAAGTTCTCCGAGATCGACGAGAGCAGGGAAAGGATCGGCGCGGGCGTGTCCAAGTCGAAAGAGGAACTGGCGACGTCGGCGCAGAACTACCGGGGCGCCTACAGCCTGGAGGACCGATCGTTTTCGCCGCCCGCCGAGATCGTGGAAGCCAAACGCAGCGCTTTTACGGAAGTGAAAAAGTCCCCGCAGAGCCTCAAGCACCACAGCAAGAACTCGGAAAACAAAGACGGCGGACGCCCCAACGCGAGCCCGACAGAGAAGCATTTGAACATCCGGCAGGTTCTTTCGGAAACGCAGCCGCCCCAGACGCCGCCCATGGGCAGCGCCTTCACGTCCGTGGGCCAGCAGGGCGGCGCCGGCGGGAACGAGCGTAAGAGCGCGTTCAGCCAGCCGTCGCGTTCCTCCTTCTCCCAAATGTCGTCTCTGGTGATGCCGCCCAAACTGCTGGACTGTCACCCGGCGGTCGGCGACGCCATCTCCTCCAACAGACTCTACCAGGCCGATCATTTAGCCGCGAAGCTCCAGGGGGCCGAGCTGGGCGCCAACTGCCCGGTGCCAGGAGGGGGCGGCATGGCCAAGCAGAACCCGTTCGTCTACGCCACCGCCTTTTGGCCCAAGAACTCGGGGCCGATCCAGCTGCAGATGCCGTCGGCGCTCACCCTGCTCCCGCCCTCCTTCACGTCGCTGTGTTTGCCGGCGCAGAACTGGTGCGCCAAGTGCAACGCCTCGTTCCGCATGACGTCGGACCTGGTGTACCACATGCGCTCGCACCACAAGAAGGAGTACGCCATGGAGCCGCTGGTGAAGAGGAGGCGGGAGGAGAAGCTCAAGTGCCCCATCTGCAACGAGTCGTTCCGGGAGAGGCATCACCTGTCGCGCCACATGACCTCGCACAACTGAGGAGGGACTGTTATCTGAGGAGGCTTCTGTCTGAGGAGGCTTCTGTCTGAGGAGGACTGCTGTGTGAGGAGATTTCTAAATGTGGAAGCTTCCATCTGAGGAGGCTTCTACTGTATCTGGGGAAGCTTCCATCTGAGGAGTTTTTATCTGAGGAAGCTTTTATCTGAGGAGGCTTCTGAGGAAACGTCTAACTGTAGAAGCTTCTATCTGAGGAAGCGTCCATCTGAGCAGGTTTCTATCTGAGGAGGCTTCCATCTGAGGAAGTTTTTTATCTGAGGAGACTTCTATCTGAGGAAGTTTCCACCTGAGGAGGCTTCCGTTTGAACAGGTTTCTATCTGATGAAGCTTTTATTGAGGGGAAGTTCTTATCTGAGAAGACTTCTAACTGTGGAAGCTTCTATCTGAGGAGGCTTCTATCTGAGGAGGCTTCTATCTGAGGAGCTTCTATCTGAGGAGGCTTCTATCTGAGGAAGCTTCTATCTGTGGAAGCTTCTATCTGAGGAGGCTTCTACCTGAGGAAGCTTCTACCTGAGGAGGCTTCTATCTGAGGAGGCTTCTATCTGAGGAGGCTTCTACCTGAGGAGGCTTCTATCTGAGGAGGCTTCTACCTGAGGAAGCTTCTATCTGAGGAAGCTTCTATCTGAGGAAGCTTCTATCTGAGGAGGCTTCTATCTGAGGAGGCTTCTATCTGAGGAAGCTTCTATCTGAGGAGGCTTCTACCTGAGGAAGCTTCTATCTGAGGAAGCTTCTATCTGAGGAGGCTTCTATCTGAGGAGGCCTGCTCACATGAGGCTCACTACGTTTACATGCGCAGAGATCTAACAGAGTGTTAAAGATTGTTCAAACATGCACAAATCACTCCAAACACAACTCTGAGAAGGTCAACGTGAAGATAAAAACTGTAACGTGAATATAGTTACTGTGAAATAATAAAAACAGTCGTTCTGTTTTCCAGACGTGCGCGTAAACACAGTGAACTGAAGAAGCTTGTATCTGAGGAGGCTTCTGTTCCTGTCAGACTCACTACGTTCACATACACAGAGAAACAACCAAATTCAATCTGTCTTCACCAAAAATCAGACCATTCCAGGTCTACAGCGGCTCAAAGAAGCTGTAGGTGCGAGCGAGGGACGACAAGGAGATCAGGGACTTCGTTTTTAGAATCTGGAGATAGAATTGCGAATAAAAACAACCAAAACACCTCAAATTTTAGTTCTTTGGTTGCATTTTGAGAATAAAATTGGAATAGTTACGCTGTTTTCCAGACGTGCATGTAAACGTAGTGACTGAAGAAGCTTGTATCTGAGGAGGCTTCTGTTCATACGAGACTTGAGGAGAACACTGGAGCTCCAACACTTATGGACGTACCACAGCCCCTTTGCACTTCACTTTTTGGAGACTGGACGTGTCTCGTGAAGCAGGTCGGACCAACGGCGACATAAAAACTTTTGGAATTTTTTTTTATTTCAAAACGTCGTAATTGAAGAACTTCGTATTTGTATTTGATAAACACAGCGTCAAAACGAGAGCGACGTTCAGTGTCTGAATCTGTGTGTCATTCATTTGTTTTTCAAAATAAAAACAAAAATAAGAAAACGAAAAAAAAAGACAACTGTTTTCTTCATTATTTATCTCCAAAACCAAAATTATTATTATTATTTTTTTTAGTTTTCGATTTTGTGTTTGTGAAATGAAATGAAATGAAAAACGGAAAAAACGGATAATGGACTAAACCAGGACTGAACCAGGACTAAAAGAGGACTACAACAGGGCTGGTTTAGTCCTGTTGTAGTCCTGGTTTAGTCCTGGTTCAGTCCTGTTGTAGTCCTGGTTCAGTCCTGGTTTAGTCCTGGTTTAGTCCTAGTTTAGTCCTGGTTTAGCTTGAATGAAATTTGACACAGTATTTGTCAAACAGGGCTGAACCAGGATTAAACTGGTCTCAGGCCTGGTCCTGGTTCCAGTCTCAGTCCTGGTCTCAGTCTTGATCTGGTCCCGATCTCAGTCCCAGTCTCAATCCTGGTCCTGGTCCCGGTCTGGTCTTGTCTTGGTCTCAGTCCTGGTCACCAGACAGTCTACGCGGGCACAATTCTGGACCTGTTCAGACGCTTAGTCCTGGTCTAGTCCTGGTCTAGTCCTGGTTTAGTTCTGGTTTAGTCCTGGTTTAGTCCTGGTTTAGTCCTGGTTTAGTCCTGGTTTAGTTTTCTGGTTTAGTCCTGGTTTAGTCCTGGTTTTTGGTTTAGTCCTGGTTTAGTTTTCCATTTAAGACTGGTTTACTGGTTTAATGGTTTACCTGGTTTAGTCCTGGTTTAGTCCTGGTGTTTTAGATCCTGGTTTAGTCTGGTTTATCTCTGGTTTTCCTGGTTTACCTGGTTTAGTCCTGGTTTAGATCTGGTTTATCCTGGTTTAGTCCCTGGTTTACCTGGTTTACCTGGTTTAGTCCCTGGTTTACCTGGTTTAGACCTGGTTTAGTCCTGGTTTATCTGGTTTAGACCTGGTTTAGTCCTGGTTTAGGTCTGGTTTAGACCTGGTTTAGACCTGGTTTAGGTCTGGTTTAGACCTGGTTTAGACCTGGGTTAGACCTGGTTTAGTCCTGGTTTAATCCTGGTTCAGTTCTGGTTTAGATCTGGTTTAATCCTGGTTCAGTTCTGGTTTAGATCTGGTTTAATCCTGGTTCAGTTCTGGTTTAGATCTGGTTTAATCCTGGTTCAGTTCTGGCTTACTGTAGACCTGGTTCAGTCCTGGTTTAGTCCTGGTTTAGACCTGGTTAGACCTGGTTTAGTCCCAGTTTAGTCCTGGTTCAGTCAAAATCGTGGGTTTTATTCAGAGCAACATCTTTTTTCCAGTTATTTTTTTGAAATTCAAGTCACTTGGTAAAAACTGAAGGTTAAAAAAGTAAAAGATAAAAGAACAAAACACAAGTCCAAGTTCTGCCAAAACCACCTCAGGAAAAAAACAACCAAAGACAGAAAGACCAGACTGAAACCATGGAGCTGAAGACTGAAGAGTGAAGCAACCGACAAGTGACACACAAATCCACCTGTCATTTATTTGTTTTTCAAAATAAAACCAAAATTAAGAAAATGAAAAAAAAACGAATATTTTCTTCATTATTTTGTCTCCAAAACTAAAATGAAAAAAAAAAAAAAAAAAACAGAAAATGATTTGTTTTTTCAGTTTTCGATTTTGTGTTTAAATGAAAAATGGAAAAAAACAGATAAAGGACTGAACCAGGATCTGGTTTAGTCTTGGGTTTAGTCCTGGTTTAGTCCTGGTTTAGTCCTGGATTAGTCCTTGGGTTTAGTCCCGGTTTAGTCCTGATTTAGTCTTGGGTTTAGTCCCGGTTTAGTCCTGTTTTAGTCCTGTTTTAGTCCTGGTTTAGTCCTGTTTTAGTCCTGGTTTAGTCCTGGTTTAGTCTTGGGTTTAGTCCCGGTTTAGTCCTGGTTTAGTCTTGGGTTTAGTCCTGTTTTAGTTCTATTTTAGTCCTGTTTTAGTCCTGGTTTAGTCTTGGTTTAGTCTTGGGTTTATTCCTGTTTTAGTTTTCTGTTTTAGTCCTGGTTTAGTCCTTGGGTTTAGTCTTGGGTTTAGTCCTGGTTTAGTCTTGGGTTTAGTCCTGTTTTAGTCCTGTTTTAGTCCTGGTTTAGTCCTGGTTTAGTCTTGGGTTTAGTCCTGTTTTAGTTTATTTTAGTCCTGTTTTAGTCCTGGTTTAGTCCTGCTTTAGTCTTGGGTTTATTCCTGTTTTAGTTCTGTTTTAGTCCTGGTTTTAGTCCTGCTTTAGTCTCCTGGGTTTATAGTCCTGGTTTAGTTCCTGTTTTAGTCCTGTTTTAGTCCTGGTTTAGTTTAGTTTAGTCCTGGTTTAGTCCTGTTTAGTCTTGGGTTTATTCCTGTTTTAGTTTAGTCCTGTTTTAGTCCTGGTTTAGTCCTGTTTTAGTCCCTTGTTTAGTCCTGGTTTAGTCCTGGTTTAGTCCTGGTTTAGTCCTTGGTTTAGTTTAGTCCTGTTTTAGTCCTGGTTTAGTCTTGGTTTAGTCCTGCTTTAGTCTTGGGTTTATTCCTGTTTTAGTCCTGTTTTAGTCCTGGTTTAGTCCTGGTTTAGTCTTGGGTTTATTCCTGGTTTAGTCTTCATGAACAAACCCTTTTTTACTTTTCCTTGAGTATTTCTTGTCAATCTGGTTGTGATTTGAGTCTCTAACATTATTATTATTGATACTACTACTACTACTACTACTACTACTACTACTACTACTACTACTACTACTAACTACTACTACTAATAATAATAATAATAATAATAATAATAATAATAATAATAAACGTAGTAGTTTTATAATTATTTCTAAATCGTCTGTGTTTCTTTGTTTATGATTCGCAGGCAGAGAAACTTAAGCCAATGGCGCCATCGTGTGGACAGTTTTAGGCAAGGCAAGTTTATTTGTACAGCACAATAACACAAAGTAATTCAAAGTGCTTTACAGAATAAGAAATACATTAAAATCATAATAAAAACAAATTAAAATAAAAAAAGAGAGACATAAATTGGAGAGAAGAGTGCGGAATGAAAACCTTTCAGTTATTTGCACAGTTAAACAGAAATGTTTAGAGTCTGGATTTAAACAGCGTCACAGAAGAGTCTGTCTCACATGTTCAGACTGTTCCAGGTTTTAGCTGCATGAACCTGAAACTCTGACTCCCCTTGTTTAGTCGTGACTCTGGGCACCAGCAGGAGTTGGTCCCTGAGCTCCTCAGAGTGTGAGATGTTCATATGACACTAACATGTCACAGATGGACTTTGGTGCTCGGCCATGGAGACACTTGTACAAACAGAGCTGCTTTAAAGTCTCTGAGCCACAGGAGCCAGAGCAGAGACCTGAGACCAGGACTTATGTGCTCGTACTTCCTAGTTCGAGTCAGGACCCGAGCTGCAGCGTTCTGGATGTTCTGGATGTTCTGGATGTTCTGGATGTTCTGGATGTTCTGGATGTTCTGGATGTTCTGCAGCGTCTCACAGCTCGTTTGGAGAGACCAGTGAGCAGAACATTACAGTATCTAACCTCCTGGAGACAAACGCATGGATAAGTTTCTCCAAGTCTGATTTAGACAGTAAACCTTTGATTTTTGCTATGTTTTTTAGATGGTAAAAGGCTGCAGATGTTATTGATTTGATGTGGCTGTTAAAGTTCAAGTCTGAGTCCATTATTACCCTGAGATTTCTTGCCTGATTTGAAGGTTTTAGAGAGAGAGACTGGAGGTGATGCTGACACTGTCCCTTTGTTTCTGTGGACCAAACACTATGACTTCAGTCTTGTCAGAGTTTAGCTGGAGAAAGTTGTTTTGCATCCACACACTGATCTGTTGG